GCAGTCTTGAGCTGCAGATGGGTGAGAAGGGAGGAATTGCTGTACAGTAGTTCTCCCCTCATCTGGGGTTTGGTTTTCTATGTTTCAGTTACCCAAGGTCAACCACAGTCCAAAAATAATAAATTTCCCCAGCCACCCACATTGTCATAGCTCCATGATCCAGGATTACCCACAGCAGATGGTCCCCCTTCTGACATATATATGGTCAGACGGTCAGTAGACGCCTAACACTGTGTCACGATGCCTAGTCATTCACCTCACTTCATTTCATTATGGAGGCATTTTATCATCTCATGTCATCACAAGAAAAAGGGTGAGTACAGTGATATTTCTTTTAAAAATTAGGTTTTTATTGATTTCAGAGAGGAAGGGAGATGGAGGGAGAGACAGAAACATCAGTGATGGGAGAGAATCATTGATCGGCTGCCTCCTGCATGCCCCACATGGGGACCCAGCACGCAACCCGGGCATGTGCCCTGACGGGGAATCGAACCATCACCTCCTTCATAGGTCGTTGAGCCGTGGGCCAGTGATCTTCCCAGAGACCACATTCACAAGTCTGTTGCTATAATTGCTCTATTTTATTAGTTGTTAATCCCGTACTGTGCCTAATTTATAACTTCATCATAGGGATGTGCGGATAGGAAAAAATCAGTATATATAGGGTTGGGTAGTAGCCAAGGTTTCAGGCACATTCGGGGGTGGGGGGTGGAGGGGTGTCGTCTTGGACAAAGTTCCGCCCCCGCATAAGGGGGAGCTACTCTACTTTTGAACTTGCCCCCAGCCCCAGCCTTGCACACAAGAAAGGGAGAAATTCAAGGCCGACCTAGGGGACCCAGTGACTTGGCCAGGAAGAGGTTTCCAGAGCCTGCACTGCTTGGTCCGCTGTTCAGGGCGCCCCTCGCCACCCCCCAACCGTGTGAAGGGAGCCCCCACCCGCACCCGCACCCGCACCCGCCACGTTCGGGACGCTCTCCGTTCGTGCGGGCGCCTTCCGTCCACCGCTGTGCGCTCGGAGTTTCCCTACAACTAACTTATTGGGCTGCTTCGCTCGTCTGTAAGCGTTTTTTTTTTCTTTCTTTTTTTCTTGTTTTCGGTGCGCTTCTGAGACTCACTTTGAACAACTTTCTCCTGGTTCGCAGACTGTCCCGAACCGCATCTCTCCTTTCGCCTGCGCGCCCACCTCACCCCCGGGCTGCCCCCTTCCCGGCAGCGCTGCCCCAGGGCTCCCCGCCTCGCCCCCAGCCGCGAGCGGGGCTCCCGCGGAGTTGGGGGGCGGGGGCGGGAGCGGGGGCGGGGCGGGCCGGCGGGAGGAAGGGGCGGCACCGCCTGCAGCCCGGCTGGGCCGGCCCTGGGAACCCGCGGAGGCCCCGCCGCGCCCCCGGGCCCCGCGCCCCTCGGCCGGGAGGAGAGGGGCTGGCCCGCCGCCAGCGTCGGGAGAGCCGGCCCCCTCCCCCGGCCCTCTCGCAGCCAACCAAGCACTCCAGCGGGCCCCACGTGACCTGGAGTTCTAGACAAAGAAAATGTTCAAGCCCTCCCCCCCACCAACCCCCTCCCCCTCCCTCCGGCCCCCTCCGCCCCCAGCCCCATCGCCCCCTTCCCCTCCCCCCAGGCGGGCAGCTACTTCCCGAGCTCCGGGGCCGGGCATCACACCTGAGCCGGACGGCGGAGGGGCTGCACCTGGCCTTATGGGTAGGTTCCTGGACGGAGGCCGGGGGCGGAGGGCGGCAGGGCCGGTGGGAGGATCTCTGGGCCGCCGCAGCCGGGGCCGGGCAGAGTCAAGTGTGCCTCCCTGGCCCGCGCGAGCCGGCTCCCCTGCCCGGCCGAGTTGTGAGATGCTAAGTTACTGCCGTCCCGCCCGCTCCCTCCTCCGGAGTCCCAGCCCCACTGCTCGCTGCGCCCAGGTGGGGCCCGGCGGTTCCGGGGCCAGGACGAGCCGCCCTGCAGAGCCGGGGGCAGGGGTCTGAGCGCCGGGGAGCAGGCCCGCGCCGGGCGCCGGGAGCCTGGCTGCGGGCTGGGAGCCACGCTTTTGCGGAGCTGGCTGGCAGATGGGTTGTTGGCATTTCCTTGCTGACCCGTGTTCCTGGCTGGTGGACCATGCTGCCCTCAGGCCCTGCCAACCTTGCAGCCTCGTGAGAGGGAGAGTTTCCTCTCCTGCGTGTCCCTGGGAGCCGCCGGGCAGGCTGCCAGGAAGCAGCGGTGCTGGGATGGCGGGAGCAGTGCAGCCTTGACACGGGGTGTGGGACCTCAGTGGGTGCCTGGGGGGCCAGCCTGACTCAGGCCGGTGGGGCTCGCGGGACAGCCCAGGATCTGCTGCACCGGCAGGGCGTCCGCATGGGCGCCCAGACCTCTGACCTTTGGAACAGGAAGCAGCCTGGAGGGGGGTGGAAGTGGGACAGCTGCCGGAGGAGACAGATCTGGACGGGAGGCCCTGCTCCACCAGAGTGGGGTTACCAGTGGCTTTCCAGGCAGAGTGGCTTCCTTGGGCCACGTTGGTGGTGGGGAGGGGGGGCGGGGCGTGTAGTATCTCCCTGATCAGGCCCAATCTCTCGGCCAATCTGGAGTGGGGTGTTCTGATCTGAGGGTAGGAGCCTTTAGCCCAAATGCCAAGGTTCAGTTAACCCTTCTTTCTCCCATTGTTTGCCCCAGGGAGAGTGAACGTGGGGAAAGAAGGCATTCCCTCACTACCTTGGGCAGACTCCTCTAATGAGGCCCCTCCCCCACCCAGCCACCGTCTCTGCCCCTTCTTCCCCTTTTCTCTTGCCTCCTGCTGCTAACCCACCCCTTCTTCCTTCCCCTGCCCCCGCTGGCCGTGTCACGATGGAGGCCCCCTTCCTCCTCCGCCGCCTGCCAAAAACTGTTTTGGGCGCGTGTTCTCCTGCACCTAGTGGGTTGGGGGCGCTTCGTAGCCGTCAGCAGCAGCGTCTGACAAGCTGGGGGAAGTTGTGGGGGAAGAATAATGTTCAGGAACTGGCTGTGGGGGGGTGGGGAAGAGAGACAAAGGGGCTGTGGGGGAGGACGAAGGGTGGTGTCAGGCACGACTCTACCCACTCTTCTCGAGTCTAGACCTGGGGAGCCCAGCACCCGCCCACCCTTTGCTGCTTGCTGTGGAAGTGACTTCAGCTCCTTCCCTCGGAAGGCCCCCTCCCTGCTGCCCTCTGCTACCTACACACCTTGTTCTGGTTGAGGGGCCCTGTCACCCGTGAGCAGGGTCTTTGGGTCATAGGGTAGCAGCCTGGTCTAGATCAGTCAACGTGACTGAAGTTGGAGGAGGCAGAGGGAAGGGAGCAGAACAGCTAGTCATGTTGCTCATCTGAAGGGGCCTGGTGCCGGGGTCGGCTGCCCCAGCTGACGGTTCTAGAGGAGAATCCTCCTCCCGCCTCGGGTTGAGTGCCCATCCCGTCACACCTTGTGGGGGAGGTGGTGGTGGATAATTGAAAGTAGGAAGGAGAGGACAAAGTTCCACCAGGTGCCAGGTGAGAACGGGGCTAGGGTGGTATGAGCAATGACTCTGCGTTCTTCCACCTCATTCTCCCAGCTGTTTGTGGGCAAAGAATAAATGATCCCATTTTAGAATTTGTTGAGTCAGAGAAAGAACTAGGACTTCTATCATTAGTGTTTTAGGGATCATTACAGGAAGCCGATTGGCCCAGAAACAAAGACTTGAGGATTGAATGAAATGAATCGACGAGAGTAGACCATTGCGTTTAAGACCAAGGTTTTTAACCTGGAACCCTGTGATCTGGGGGTTCATTAACAGGCTTTGGCGCATCCCTAGAATTCTTGATAGTCAGAAAAGGTTAACAGAAACCCTTCTATTTAAATGCCTTTTTAGGTTGGAGCAACTCAGAAGAGAAGGGGCTGCTCTGAGGTCAGCTGTTAATGAGTTGCAAGGCTAAGAAAGATGTCGATGCTCTGACTTCCAGCTTAGAGCTCTTGTAGTCCATGGTGCTTTCTGATGCTTTTTTCTTTTTCATAAGCTCTGGGGGAGAGCTTCATATTGAAAGGCAGATGGATGGGATTTTCTCTCTCCGAATCTGGTGTGGTGGGAATGGGTGCGGAGCCCTGAGTTTGAGGGCCATGTGTTCTAGATTCACTAGCTGGGGTGAGATGAGATTGGCCGGCCCTCAGAGCTGTGTATCCAGGATCTCATGCTCCCCTGTAGGCTGCACCTTTGGGAGCAGGTGGTGAGAAGGAATGGGGCAGGGTCTGAAAGATGAAGTCTGAAATGATGAAAGGTTGGAGGCTGTCCAACTAGGACAGTGGTTGGGTTTGGTTGGGTTTGTCGGTGGGATGGCAGAGAGGATGCCTTTGCTCAGTAAGAAAGTGTTGAAAGAATAAGTGTATTTATATGTGGATCTGAAAGGCACACAGAGAAGGGAGGGGTGAGTCTGGTAACAGAATGCACAGTGGATTTAATCCTAAGAACTCCAGCCTGGAAGCAGGTGAGCTCGGACGGGGCTTTGCGTGGTGCTCCAGCAGGTGGGGCAGGAAACATGGCACCGATTTCCTCATAGTAGACCCGACAACGGAACTGGAATCGTGGTCGGGGAGCCACACAGATTTCCTGGCTGCCCAGGGAAATTGTGGAGAAAAGGGTGAGAAGTCCAGTTCTTGGCTGGGAAATGTGACAGGAGAGGATGGAGCCTAAACGAAGGTGCACGTTTCAGATCTGAATAGAATTAGCCTTTCCACGTCAGAGGGTGGGCGAATGATAATGGTGATAAACTGGGAAAGATCAGACCAGGAAGGAAGATTTCCTAAGGGGCAGAGGAGAAGGCTGGAATGGAGCCAGATGATTGGAGTTTGCCTCTCAACTTCGGATCTCTCTGTTTTCCACGGCAGGCCAGTTGAGTTGATGAGGGAAGAACTCTCTCCAGCCCTTGACCTCCCACCACTGTCTCCAGCCCAGAAAGAGGTTGCGAGGAGCGCCCTGAGTGTGAGGTGGCCTTGCTGATTCCTGGAGAGGCCAAGGTAACTTCTGTCCCTTGTTTCCCCAGGCTGAGAAGAAAGCCAAGGTGATTGCAGTAATGAACGCTGTGGAAGAGAACCAGGGGTCCGGCGAGTCTCAGAAGGTGGAGGAGGCCAGCCCTCCTGCAGTGCAGCAGCCCACTGACCCCGCCTCCCCCACTGTGGCCACCACCCCTGAGCCTGTGGGGGCTGACACGGGGGACAAGAACGCCACCAAAGCAGCCGATGACGAACCAGAGTACGAGGTGAGCGGCTGGCTTCTTCAGCTGCCTCGTCCAGCTTTGTCCTGAGTCCCTCCACTGCCAGCTCGCCCCATCCTGCTCTCCTCTCTCCACCTGATCCCAGGCCTCTTCGTCTCCCCAATTTGGCTCTGATTTGGTCCATTCAGATGGAGCTCCCTCCTGGCTGCCCTGACCCTCAGATGCCCAGGGTTGGGGTTGCCGTGGGGGGATGAGGGTGGCAGGGCCTCGTGACTGCTGTATAATGACTTCTGCTCCTTGGGGATCTAGGACGGCCGGGGCTTTGGCATTGGGGAGCTGGTGTGGGGGAAACTGCGGGGCTTCTCCTGGTGGCCAGGCCGCATTGTGTCTTGGTGGATGACGGGCCGGAGTCGAGCAGCTGAAGGCACCCGCTGGGTCATGTGGTTCGGAGACGGCAAGTTCTCAGTGGTGAGTTATGGGGTCTCGGTCCCAAGGCCTACAGTTTTGGCGGGGCATGGTCTGGAATTGGGTGGTAAAAGTGGGCTCTGCTTGCCCCCACTCTCTGTGTGTGGGAATGGAAGCCCAGGAGATCATGAGGTCGCACTGGTGCCTCACAGCTAGGATGCCTGCTGAGTCTCTGCCTCCTGGGAACCCTTTCCCCGGAAGCCCCTCCCACTTGCCTTCAGATCCTCTGCATCATGCAGTTATTTATTGATGCATCTGGCCCTCTCCAGGACAGGGGCCGAGTTCTGATGCCTCCCACCCTTGCCTGTTGCCAGGCACGTGGTGGGGCTTGATGAGTGTGGGAGGAAAAACGAGGGCCATGGTTGTCCCCCCAGGTGTGTGTTGAAAAGCTGATGCCGTTGAGCTCCTTCTGCAGCGCTTTCCACCAGGCCACCTACAACAAGCAGCCCATGTACCGCAAAGCCATCTACGAAGTGCTGCAGGTGAGCGCCGTTTGGGGATTCGGACCGCTAGTTGGCCTAGAAGCCGAGATGCAGATGTCAGGCCTGGGCAGAGGGTCTGCCTGCCAGGCCTGTGGACTCCTTTCCCCCCATCTTACTCGCTTCCTTTCTACACTCTTCAGGCTTTCTCCTCCAGTCCTCCCCCTCCTTGCACCTTCTCCCACCTTTGTTACTAGGAGTCTGCCCTCCAGCCTGTCCCTCCAACCCCCCATTCTTGTTGCCCCCCAGGTGGCCAGCAGCCGAGCCGGGAAGCTGTTCCCAGCGTGCCATGACAGCGATGAGAGCGACACTGCCAAGGCCGTGGAGGTGCAGAACAAGCAGATGATCGAATGGGCCCTCGGAGGGTTCCAGCCCTCTGGCCCCAAGGGCCTGGAACCACCAGAAGGTCAGCACGGGGGCCCAGCCTAGCCTTCTGGACCCCTGCCAGCCAGGCCTGTGAAAGCCATGCTGAGGGAGGGCTGCCCAGGCCTCCATCGATGGGCCATGGTCTCCCTCCCCTGGGGTCGGGTAGGGTGGTACTGCTCTGGGACTCAGAATAACATGCTCCCCATTGGCCTGCTGGCACCAGAGAGTCGAGAGCAAGGAACATGGCGGGGACCAGGCTGCACCCCATTATGGGTGGAATGGGGGAGGAGAGGGAGCTGGGATTCCTTGTCAGCTGGGAACCGTGACCTCATTCCCTGCTTTTCCCACCAGAGGAGAAGAACCCCTACAAAGAAGTTTACACAGACATGTGGGTTGAACCCGAGGCAGCTGCCTATGCGCCACCCCCACCAGCCAAAAAGCCCCGGAAGAGCACAACCGAGAAGCCCAAGGTCAAGGAGATTATCGACGAACGCACAAGAGGTAGTTAGCCTGGCTCTGGAGAGAGTGGCGTGGCGAGGCTGGCATTCAGAGGAGTGGGTGAGGCCCTCTCGCCTCCTCTGATGCTGGGCTTCCCTCCCTCCGCAGAGCGGCTGGTGTACGAGGTGCGGCAGAAGTGCCGGAACATCGAGGGTGAGTCCAATGCACTGGATACCGACTCCCTGGGACGGGCAGGTGGGCTGGCTCCTAGTGGGCTGCCTGGGGCAGAGGCATGGCTGCTGAGAAAGGCTGGACTGGGACATCAGTACTCAGTCACAGGGTCAGTCCTGCATGTGTCACCACCTCCAGCCTGCATCACACACACGTCTGTCTTCTGGTGCCAGAATCTGACCTGTCGATGGTGTCGGCTGGTATTAGAATTTGGGACACTCCAGTGGGCCCCAGAGGGGAGCCCCTCTTGTATTCGATTGAATTTGCCTGAACCTGACCTTCTGGCCTTACATCTCTCATCACCTTCTCTCGTCCAGCGGTCATTCGCATCCCATGTCTGTCTCCCTTGGCCTAGTGATGGTGTGTCAGGCTCAGGGCCCTCAGGCCTGGGGAGGATGGGGCAGGGGCCCAGGACGTAAGGTCTGCCAAGGACCACCCCCATACCCAGGGCAGGGCCCGTTCTCCTTGGCGGTTCCTGTCCCGGTATGATGCCACTCCTGGATGGTGGCATCAGTGCTCTGAGAGAGGACAGGGCTTCTGAAACGGGGGCCCCAGTGCCTCCCTGTTGCCCGAGGCAGCTCCAGCACGCCCCCTTTTTGTAGCTTTTCTGGAGCTGGCTCTGGTCCGAGGCAAGAGGGGGCCCTGCAGTGCCGCTCACTCTGCTTTCTCTGCTTTCCAGACATTTGCATCTCTTGTGGGAGCCTCAACGTCACCCTGGAACACCCTCTCTTCATCGGAGGAATGTGCCAAAACTGCAAGGTAGGGCTGCTGGGGATGCCACCTCCCTCCCCTGGCCTGACTGTGACCCCGCGTTAGCTGTGGAAGCAGAAAGTTCTGATAAACAGACATTTGGGCTTCAAGGGTTGACTTGCCATTATTTTTCCTCCTGAAAGTCTTCCGCCTATAACACCCATCCCAGTCCCCAGACGTGGACTCCACTCCCCAGGCACTAGTGAAGGGGGGGGGACAAGCCGACTGGCGGGTGGGTTGCTGCGCCCTCAGGGCCCCGGGGAAGACCTAGGGGCAAAGGCTGCCGCTCCCTCCCCAGCCTTCGCCCAGGCCTCCTTGCTACTGTCCACTGCTGGGGCCAGGACACCTGCTGGCCCCTTCCCTGATCTGTGGTTTAGGCCAGACCCTGGTTGGATGGGTCGCAGGGTCATGTCTCCAGGGCTGAGTCAGGGTTCCCGGGGCTTGCGGAGGGTCTGACTGCCACCTGCCCTCCAGAACTGCTTCCTGGAGTGCGCGTACCAGTACGACGACGACGGCTACCAGTCCTACTGCACCATCTGCTGTGGGGGGCGTGAGGTGCTCATGTGCGGGAACAACAACTGCTGCAGGTGAGGGGCCCCCACCTTGGGCTCCCACTGCCCACCTGCCCAGCCGTGCCCCATCCAGGACTGGCCTGGGGCTGGGAGTCCCGCTGCTACACTGGGCTTCCTTCCAGGTGCTTTTGCGTGGAGTGCGTGGATCTCTTGGTGGGGCCCGGCGCCGCCCAGGCAGCCATCAAAGAAGACCCTTGGAACTGCTACATGTGCGGGCACAAGGGCACCTACGGGCTGCTGCGGAGGCGGGACGACTGGCCCTCGCGGCTGCAGATGTTCTTCGCCAACAACCACGACCAGGAATTTGTGAGTGCCGGCCTGGGCCTGCTCCCGAACTCTCTGCACCCACTCCTACCTGCCGGAGCTGGAGGGCGGACCGGCTGAAGCGATGGTGCTTCAGTGGGTCGGGGGGCCGGGCGATGAGCAGGGGTGCCCGAGCCGCGCGCTGGCTGTGCGGGGTCAGAACGCCGATCACGCTCACGGGGCTGGGAGGGCGGGCGGAGCTGGGGAACACGCCCGGGCACTCACCTGGCCTGTTGTGCTCCCTGCCTAGGACCCTCCGAAGGTTTACCCACCTGTCCCAGCCGAGAAGAGGAAGCCCATCCGGGTGCTGTCTCTGTTTGACGGAATTGCTACAGGTGAGCAGCACGGGTCCGAGAGGGGCTGCGCCCTCCTCCTGGGACGGGCAGCTCTGTGGGGGATGCGTGTATTCAACTCTGACCAAACAGAACCGTAGTGAGCATCACCACTGCTAAAGCCTCACCCTGCAGGTGAAACTGTTCATTGGGAAGTAAAATCAGGGGCAAACCAGCGTGTCCGGCGGGCACTTTCCTTAATGGGGGGAGCTTCCCGGCCGAGGACGGCGTGACTGACAGGTCATTGGCGGTTTTCACAAAGCCTCAAAGGGCAGACGGCGACCAAAACAAAAACACGGCCCTTGTGCTGTGTTTTCATTGGAAGTCGCAGTAAAAGAACAATCTATAACCGAGAGCAGAGAATACCTAAATTGCCCATAAGCTGTGATTAGTGTTTTGGTGAATGTCGCGTTAGATGTGTGCGTGCGTTAATGCAGTCGTACATAGATAAAACAGAGGGGCGGTAAATGTGTAGTGTTGTAACTCGCCTTTTCAGTTATGATGTTATGAGGCTGTCTCAGGTCGGTCAGTAGAGAACTGCATCCTTCATTTGTAAGTGCCGCGTAAGGTGCCACTGAGTGAAAGGACCGAGATTAATTTAATCCTCCGTGGGTTGGGGACTGGTGTTGTCACTGTTGGAGCAGCGCTGTGACAGGCCTCCCTGTACGCACTCCTTCTGTTCTGTACGTTAGCCATTGTCTTTTAGGGCGCGCTGGGTCACTGTAGGTGCTGTTTTCTTCATGTGGTTCTTGACCTTGCCAGACAGCCCTCGCGGAAGGTGGCACTGACGCATCTATCTCCCCCTCGGGCCTCCTCCCAGGCTGGGCTCCTCGGTTCCTCCGAAGGGAGTCGCTCTCCTCAGAACCTGCCTTCATGTGACCAGAGGGAGATGGACAGTCTGAGCCCAGGGACCTTGGCCAGAGGGCCAGCGTATGGGTGGCATCCCAGACCAGGTGTTTGTCCGATGTTTTCATCTCGGTGCCATGTTCTGTAAACCGAGAGGCTTGTGTGCAGCGTGGGTTTCGCAGGCTGGAGCCTCGAGGCCTTCTTGGACCCTGTCGCAGCTCAGGAGGCTGTAAAAGCTCCTTGGTGGGGGGTCTGTTGGGCGCAGGGGAAAGAAAGGCAGCACAGTAGCCTCTTTCTCCTGAAGCTGCCGGCTCTGTTCTCATTGTTTCCTTGCCTTAACCCTTTTCGGTCCAACCTCGAGGCTGACTCGACAGACCAGGCGCAAGGAGCAGGTCCAACGTCGAGCAATAAGAACATTAAAAAGTTCAACATTCAATCCCGTCAATTAATTTGGATCAGACTGTTTGAATTCCAAATATAACACTGGACTGCAAAGGGTTAATTCAGCAAGCACTGGTGAGGGATTGTGGTAAGGAAGTGCCTGTAGTGAGTTGGGATGAGACCTCATACTCTTACTCCGTCTTAAAGAAATTCGTAGCCCAAGAGAAAAGCTGAATTAGGAATACTCACTGCTCTAATGAGGTGGAGAGGGACGCAGAGTGCTGGGGGCTGATGGAGTAGGGGAGGGGCGGGCGTTGCTGAAACATTTTCAGAGCAGGTAGCATTTACGTTGGGTTTGAAGGATGGGGAGAGTTGCAGCAGGATGAGCTGTTTGGGGGAAAGAAGCGATAAGGAAGGACCAGTGTGTGAAAGATGGAGAAACAGCAAAGAGGAGGCCACCAAAACTCGGCTGCTGTTCTCCCTGGATCCTGAAACCGCCTCCTGTCCAGCTGGTCTGTCCTGGCCTTTGACCACCTTTGAAGTAGATCAAGCTAGACATGAAGCAGCCTCGATGTCTCTGTCATTGATGTTCAGTTGGTTCGGAGGATTTCAGGCAGCTTCCTGGGCAGGGCAGGGCTCAGGCCATCGCTGACCCGTGTGTCGGGCTGGCCAGAGGGCCCCCGGCCGAGACCTGCTGCCAGAGGTGACCGCGCTCTTCTCCGGCTGGCGCAGGGCTCCTGGTGCTGAAGGACCTGGGCATTCAGGTGGACCGCTACATCGCCTCGGAGGTGTGCGAGGACTCCATCACGGTGGGCATGGTGCGGCACCAGGGGAAGATCATGTACGTCGGGGACGTCCGCAGCGTCACGCAGAAGCATGTATGTCAGTGCTGGGGTCCCGTCCCGCCTTCTCCGCACCTCGCACTCAGCTCCCGGGGCAGCACCAGCCCCCTTGCATTTCGTTCATTTATTTTCCTTTCCCTGTTTTCCCAGCCTCTCTTCCTGTCCCTCTTCCGTGTTCCTCCTTGTTTGAGGCTCACGGGCAGAGTGAAATGGGAATTTGGGGCTCGGGCTGCTCTCTGGCTAATTGCAGGGCCCTTTTTAGTTGAGCGCTTAGGATGGCGGTGAGGTGCCTGTCCTCATACTTCTGGCGGCAGCTCTACCAGCCTCCGTTTCCCAGGGTGTCCGGCGGGGTCTTGACTAAGTGAGCCTCTGCCCTCCTGGTGTCTGTGTCTGCCCCTGAGACTCTGGGCCCTCACGAATGCTGAAGGGCGTTGAGATGGTGCAGACACCCTGCCCAGAGTGTGCAGAGCACAGCACCTTCACGTCAGCCTTCTCGCGAGGGGCTGCCTTCCCTGCTGGGGACACTGGCTTCCCTGCTGGCCTCCGATTATCCCGCTGTGACCCTTCACTTTATTGTAGAGGAAACTGAGCCCAGAGGGCCTCGGGGCCTGGCCCATGGCTGCACGGAGGGTGTGTGCGTGTGCGTAGTATTTGTGCATGAATGTGTGTAGGTGGTGAGCGTACAGAGCAGCCAGGTCTCCTCTCCCCGCGTCCAGGTACTTTTTTGCCAAATTCACAGATAATTTCTCTCTTCCTCTCTGTCTCTGTCTCTGGACAGTAAGCCGATTACATTCCCTTTATCCTCTCAGATCCAGGAGTGGGGCCCGTTCGACCTGGTGATTGGGGGCAGTCCGTGCAATGACCTCTCCATCGTCAACCCTGCCCGCAAGGGACTCTATGGTAGGTGCCGTGCTCGCCTGGCCGCCTTCTCGGCTGGTGCTTCTGCAACGTAGGTTTCCTACTCGGTCATTTCTGCCCTGGGAAGGCTACTCCCACTGGCCCTGCCCTCCCTTACCCGCCCCGTGCCCTAGCCACACCACTGTCTCTGCAGACAGCCCAGCTGACGGCTTTCTCTCCCGCCTCTCAGAGGGCACTGGCCGGCTCTTCTTTGAGTTCTACCGCCTCCTGCATGACGCGCGGCCCAAGGAGGGAGATGACCGCCCCTTCTTCTGGCTCTTTGAGAATGTGGTGGCCATGGGCGTTAGTGACAAGAGGGACATCTCACGATTTCTCGAGGTATAGCCAGCACCCTTGGTTTGCCCAGCTCACTAACGGCTTCTGCCTTGGACAGCCGCTTTGTCCCTGTCTCATCTGCATTGTGGGGTTGGGGGCTGGGGACTTCTGCTTTGCAAAGGGCCCATTTGGGAAGCTTGGGGCTTCCCAGTGAGATGGGGAGGAAGCATTGTTAGAGGTCCCCCCGAGAGAACTCGTGGTCTCTCTCTCGGGGGAGGTATACGGCTTAGGGCTTGAAAGACCTGAGTGTAAAGGGGGTGGGGGGCCCACTCCCAGGGTTGGGTTCTGTGTGGTGTTTCTCGGGGGGAGCCTAGGAGATGGCAGAATCAATGGTTCAGCTCACTCCTCAGCAGCTGTGACAGATGCACTCTGACACCTGGGAAGGAGACAGGACCTGTCTCAGCGTGGCCCCGGCTCAGCACGCAGCCCGGTCTGAGCTCTGCACAGAGGGTTTCTGCGCAGAGGCAGCCTCAGGGGTGGGCGGTCCGGGAGCTCAAGCCCACACTCCCGGCCTCGGGATGGGTAACGTCGCAGCTGCTATTCTGTCACTGCGAGTTGTCTGTCTGGCTCACAATCGGGGTGTGCAGTGAACATCTGCACCGTTGCTGGAACTTTGTCTCACAAAGCCCCATTGGCCACGTGTGATACTTACATAAACGTTAAAATTCCTCAGTCACACTCACCTCGTTTCAGGTACTCATTAGCCCCCCGCGGCGGGTGGGTAGGGACTGCCGGTGAGCAGCGCACACAGAGGACATTCCCATCGTCACAGAATGTTCCGCTGGTGTGTGCTGGTCTCTGAGGTTCCGGTAAGAGCTGGTGGAATGTGGCCACGTCTCGTGCTGGCTTTTCCTGGTGGCTTCAGGCCGCCCCGGCGTGTGGCCTCCTCAGAGAGAAGCCTGAGCCTCTGAGGCTTCCAGGCTCCGAACTCGCAAAAATTCCTGGCGCCGTTTCCTGGTCCTCTCGCTCATCGTTAATCTCCCTCCTGTTTTATAGTCCAACCCTGTGATGATTGATGCCAAAGAAGTGTCAGCTGCACACAGGGCCCGCTACTTCTGGGGGAACCTTCCTGGTATGAACAGGTTGGTGAGAGCTCCGGGCCTGGGATGGCTGCGGGTTGGCGTCTGCAGGCAGGACAGCCCGGAGCGGGGGTCCCGAGTGGGCTTCGCGGGCCAGCTCTGCCCTGTTCTTGAGGGAGGGGCGTCAGGGTAGAGAAAATACTTGCCCGAGAAACCAACACCGAGCGTGGAAAAGAGGCGCGTTAGAGTGCGCCCTTCCCAGGGGGAGACCCGGCGTGCCGCCGAGTTGAATTGCAGGTTCTCCTACACGGGCGATGTCTTCAGTCTCCTGAGGTCAAGTCATGGAGAGAGGGGTTGGGGTGGGAAGGAGGTGCCCACACCCAACCATGTGCCGGTCCAGGGAGGGAATCTTGAAGCCGCGCCTTGCAGGTTTGAAGCCCCGCCTCACTTGTCCACACTCAATTGGTTCCAGGTCTTTTGCTGGAAGGATGCTCTTCATTCAGTCACACAGATAGATTTTAATATCCAGGAATGAAGAAAATTTCATTTCTTCTGTACAATAATTGCACTGTATAAAGGGCCTATGAGGAGAGGGATTCTGGTTGAAAGCAGCTGAAAAGCAGCGTGAGGTCCACCCACTCCAGACATCTCTTATGGAGGGAATATTTTCCAGAATGTTCTGAGTGGATTCTAAGCCTCCTGGAGAATACTTGCAAATTGGAAACATCATTTGATCTGGCCTCAGCTGTGTAATCTCCCTCTCTGTCATTTGCATGAAGTTGTAGGAACTTCCTCAGGCCTGTCCCCGTTCGGCAGGGCTGCTGTCTTTTGCAAGGGCTTGTTGATGGGGAGGAGATGGGCCAGTGGGGCAGCTGATCTGAAAACTCTGAGTGTCCCCCTAAATTTCCCAAGATGGATGTGTGTGTTGGGAAAATGGACAGGACGGTATAGTCTAGCATTTTCATGAAGCCACACACCTTGATCCTAGGGAATTATTCCCACCTGTTTCTTCCAACTCTAAAATTCTACAACTCTGAGCTTCCAGGAGGAGCAGGGAGACCAGGTGGGACCAGGTAGAGACGCGTGTGTGTGTGTGTGTGTGTGTGTGTACGTACGGACGTACGTGTGTGCGTGTGTGTGTACGTACGGACGTGTGTGTGTGTGGGTGTACGTGTGTGTGTGTGTATGTACGGACGTACGTGTGTGTGTGTGTGTGTGTGTGTGTGTGTGTGTGTGTGTGTACGTATGCACGCATAAGCTGAGAGGAGCCTGGAGGCGCTATTGGGTGCGGGTCCGAGGTTCCCACACTGAGCCATTGACTGCTCAGTGAAGCCTTCATTGAGTATTTCTAAAGGTCAGAAAAGGCCTGTGCTGGAGGCGGTGTTCAGTTATCTGGTCTGCCCTCTGGGAAGTCACAGAATGTTAGTCTTCAGGGGACTGCGCAAAATTTGTCTTTTTAACTTACATTTAAGGTGCACAGTTCAATGAATTCCATCCAGTGTGCACACCCATGTAACTGTCACCATAATCAAGATACACAGCATTCTGTCGCCCCCCGAAGCTTGCTTTGTTGAATCCTTTTAAAACTCAGTTAAAATAACTGATGTAAAAATAAAAACATTTGGGTTTTTCCCCTTCTGGGCAGGTGTGGCCTGCTTATTTGTAGTTTGAGGCCACTTTTGAATTTGCCTTTTAAGGCTTAATACTTAGTGGATTTGTGTCCGCGGGTGGCTGCAGTGTATGTGTGTGTTTCCTGGGGGAGTTGGAAGGGCTTACAACAAGGTGGGAGGCAGGACCCCCTTTGCTGGCCTGTGTGAGTCAGATGGCTGCTGGGTCAGCACTGCCCGGTGTGTCCCTGTCCTCCTGGGCTCCGCTGTCACCTCCTCTGTTCTGCCTCCTAGGCCGTTGGCATCCACTGTGAATGACAAGCTGGAGCTGCAGGAGTGTCTGGAACACGGCAGAATAGCCAAGGTGAGCCGCGTCGGGGCCCTCTGCTGGGCGGTAGGGAGAAGGGCAGAGGGCGGGGTGCGGTAGAGCAGCCACCAGGGCTGTGAGCCTGCCCTCTAGAGCTCTGGGTGCAGGCGGGATGGGGGGTGCAATTTAGGGGTGATATGGGGTCATTCATGCAGTTGGCCTGAGGGGAGGATCTAGAGCAGCGGTTCTCAACCTGTGGGTCACTACCCCTTTGGGGGTCGAACGACCCTTTCACAGGGGTCGCCTAAGACCATCGGAAAACCCATATATAATTACATACTGTTTTTGTGGTTAATCAATATGCTTTAATTATGTTCAATTCGTAACAATGAAAATACATCCTGCATATCAGATATTTACATTACAATTCATAACAGTAGCAAAATTGCAGTTAGGAAGCAGCAACGAAAATAATTTTATGGTTGGGGTCACCACAACATGAGGAACTGTATTAAAGGGTCACGGCATTAGGAAGGTTGAGAACCACTGATCTAGAGGAAGGTCTGGAAGGCAGAGAGAGAGAGATCAGAAGTCATTGCTGGCCTTCTGCCCTCCCTTGTTAAGCACTGCTTGGTGTCCCATGGGAGGCAGACACTGAGACACCTTTGTCAAGGTGTCCCTAGGGCGTTTAAATTTTTTGGCCAGGACCTATTGCGTGAGTTTCCACAGCAGCGACTCTCCTGTGATGTGGAAGCTCGGTTTCACTCTGTAGAAATCTCCCAGAGTGCGCGCACCAGGCATCAGGGTCCCTGAGAGCAGGGACCAGCAATTGTGTATCTTGAGCCGGAGCGATCTGGCATCTTTTTGCCTGCAAGTCACTACACTTACGAAGGAAGCAGTTCTTGGAGGACTGAGGAAGGACAGTGGCTCCAGCTGCTATATCTCCAGCCCTTGGCCGGCAGGATTGGACTAGGATGGCGGGGTGACCGCAGAGTAGGAGGAAGAGCAGGGCAGAGGGGTCTGCAGAGGCCCACTTTGGCAAGCACCTGGCACACGTGGCAGATGCATGACCAGCGAATGAGTGCTCGTTCCTCTTTCCTCGTCTTCTAGTTCAGCAAAGTGAGGACCATCACCACGAGGTCGAACTCCATAAAGCAGGGCAAAGACCAGCATTTCCCCGTCTTCATGAATGAGAAAGAGGACATCTTATGGTGCACTGAAATGGAAAGGTACCCAAGGCCTGGGCTGGGGTCGCGGGGCTGTCCTGGCGGGAGGGGGTCTCTCCCAGCCAGGCTGGCGTCTTGCACAGATGCCACGTGAGCAGTGGGTACCCGGGCATTTCCTGACGTGGCCGATTCCTGGGGATGGTCCCAAAGTGAGGCATCTAGAAATCAGTCCACGGGGGCCTTGGGTCCCGGGGGTCCTGCTGAGCTCCAGGAAACACGGCGGCTCAGGAGCATCTTATCTCGTGCTGCTCCTTTAGGTGCCTCACAAACCAGGGCAGCACAGGCCCAGGTGGGCCTTCCAGCCTGAGCACCCTGACTGGGTGCAAACTGGACTCAGAGACGAGATGACCCCTTCATTCTCAGTGTAACGGCCACTTAGCCAGCCAGACAGACCACTTACACAAACAACAAGCAGGCGGGAACTCCTGGAGGGCGTGGAGTCAGACAAGAGTTCTCCTCCCTCTTGGGGGGAAGGTATTGGGGTGTATAGTCATTACTTTCAGACTTCAGGTACCCACTGCAGATCTAAATCTCAGGTGCCGCCTTGTCCTGGAGGTGTTCTCACAAATCCTGACTTTGCTTCTACCGTGTGGTAACTCTCTCGGCCACGGTCATCTTACCTAGCTTCAAATCCACAGACAGCAGTGGGCTGTCCGAGTCTTGAGTGGGTGACAGAGGAGCGAAGATCCCCCAGAATCCCATGCGCCAGCGCTCACCCCGCCCTCTGCCTCTTTCCCCAGGGTGTTCGGCTTCCCTGTCCACTATACCGACGTTTCCAACATGAGCCGCTTGGCGAGGCAGAGACTGCTGGGCCGGTCGTGGAGCGTGCCCGTCATCCGCCACCTCTTCGCTCCGCTGAAGGAATATTTTGCTTGTGTGTAAGGGACATGAGGGCAAACTGAGGTAGTGATACAGAGTTAAAAAAACAAACAAAAAAACACACAAAAAACCACAAAGAACATGAGGATGGAAAGAAGTATCAGCACCCAGAAGAGAAAGGAATTTAAAACAAAAACCAGAGGCGGAAATACCGGAGGGCTTTGCCTGGTGAAAAGGGTTGGACATCATCTGGTTTTTCAATGTTAATCTTTAGTCCTATTTAAAAACAATATCATGTTCCCTAGCCCCCCCCCCCCTTTTTTTGGTCAGATCTTTTGTTTTCTACTCTTTTCAGAGGGGTTTTCTGTTTGTTTGGGTTTTTGTTTCTTGCTGTGACTGAAACAAGAGGGTTTATTGCAGCAAAACTTAACAACAAAACATAGTAACAATACCTTGCCGAGAGAGAAGAAAAAAAGGAAATTCTATGGAAATCTATATATTGGTATTGGATTTTTTTTTTTTTTTTTTTTTTAACTATATAACTTTTTGTTGTCTCTAGCCTGATCAGATAGGAGCACAAGCAGGGGGCGGAAAGTAGAGACACACTCAGGAGGCCGAGACCCCTCCCAGCCACTGAGCTGTCTTGCTAGCACCATTCCTGGTCATGCAAAGCAGAACCCAACTAGCAGCAGGGAGAGGACACCACAAGACCCTTTTATACAGTATTTCAGGTGCCTACCACACAGGAAACCTTGAAGAAAACCAGTTTCTAGAGCCGCTGTTACCTCTTGTTTACAGTTTATATATATATGATAGATATGAGATATATATATAAAAGGTACTGTTAACTACTGTACAACCTGACTTCATAATGGTGCTTTCAAACAGCGAGATGAGTAAAAACATCAGCTTCCATGTTGCCTTATGCGCAAAGGGTTTTAATCAAGGATGGACAGGGGGAGAAGGTCCATCACCTCCCAGGTGGCTTTTCCCCTTGGCGTGCCATGGGGGTGAAGGACGGTTTGGGGACCGCGTTGCCCTGCTTCTCCCTGCCAAAAAGGGGGTGAGAGGAGGTGGTCGGGACCGTGGACAGCTGAGAGCGGGATTCATCCAGGATCACGCAATAACCTTTTGATTTTTTTTTTCTCCCAACAAAAGGAGACTCCCTCAGCAAGATGGCAGGATAAGGGGTCTCCCTTCCAAGTTTTTCACATTAGCCGATCTGAGGGCTCCTCGTGGTGGGATCAGAACTGATCCAGAGTGTGGGAAAGTGACCGTTAAAAACCCCACCTGGAGCGAATAAAAAAACATACAAAACGTACTGGTGCTTTCCTGTCTAAAGTCGCCTTTTGTGTGTTCTTTTATGAGGCCCCACCATCCGCCCTCTGTGCACAAGGTGGCTTCTGGCCCTGGAATGTGATGTTTTTGGTCATCTCCAAAGGCTGCAGTTTTATACGGGGAGGCTGACGACACCTTTCGTTATAATTATTATTCTTATGGTTCTGGTTATAATTATGTTTGTTTTCAGATTTTTCGTTAAGAACACAAAAACCCAACCCACCCCCCTCCCCTTAAGGTTTCAAACCAAGGTGCGGGGAGCAGGGTGCTTCTAAGCTAGGGGTGGCCCTGGTGCCCTGGCTCCCCACCCCTCGGGCCAGGTGGGCCACCAGGTGCAGCGACAGGTGGGCGGCCCGGGAGTCCCCCAGGCCAGCCTTCCGGTGCGTCCCTCTTCTCTTCTACTTCCCCTCCTCTGGAGGCGTGTGTGTCAGGGCTGGAGGGAGGGCCGGCGTCTCTCTCCTGTGTGTGTGACTGGAGTGGTGTGTATTTCTTTTCTAGTGCTTTGGTCTGGTGATCGCTGTGCTCTTAACCTGAGTCAGCAGCACCCGGAGCCCCAAGTGCACAACACTTGGTTCCGCTTCCTACCGAGGCAAGCAGCCTGGTGTTGGCAGTAGGCGGGACGCCAGTGGCGGCTCCAGGGTGAGGGCCCAATGGGCGGATGCTTGCCTGGATAGATGGGGTGTAGATATGTGGCATATAGAGATATATATTTTATAATGGGAGGGGGGATGGCACCTCCTGGGACCGGCAGGGCTGGGAGGTGTGCTGTCAAGCACATGGTCCCAAGTTCGCATCCCTAGAAACGGCCTATGGTGATAGGCACTATATAAATAGATAGGGTCATGTATAAGAGATATTATGGAGTGGGGACCGGGAAGTGGGGCTCAGGAGGCTGAGCTTCGGGTCCCGCTGCAGACGTAAGCCCCACACCAATCAATCCCACACGCATACACAGGAACATGTCTATCCCGATGCATAACAGATGCACTCACACCGCCAGGGAGCACCCCGCCACTCCCCCAGGAGTCAGGACTTTGTGGAGTCGGCCCTGCAGCTCTTTACCTCTGTTGCCCTGATTGCAGGTAGACTGTCAATCCCAGAAGTTGCTCGGTGCTGAAGGCAGGAAAAGGAGGAGGTTTTATTTTAGCAGGTGCTCTCCTCTAGCAGGTAGCGTGCTCTCTCTTTTGCCCCTGGTGATGTCAAAAGACTCTTCTGTTAGCAACTGTGATACTGACCTGCAACTCTAGGCACCAGTAAAGTCAGCCCTCAGCTCCCCCTACCTATTCTCCCCTCAACCAAAATGAAATTACATCCAGGTCTGTCTTGGCCAAGGGGCTTCCACTCAAAAAATAAAAATAAAAAAATGGGACAGTGAACCTCATGTTTTGAATCAAGCAAATTAGTAATTTGGTGACAAAATTAAACCAAGGCTTTGAATCCCTTGCTCATTGCTCAGGAGTAAGCTCACAGCCGGTAGCCAGTGTCCTGCTCCTTTTAGGGGTGCTTAGTTCTGGACCCCAATCTCATTTCCTTGTCAGATTGGCTTTGAAGATCACACCCAGTTGCTTCCCGCCAGCTCTGGTGGCAGGTGGTGATGGGCCAGGGGGCTGGAGTGGCCAGGAGGGGTACCTTTGCCCCTCCCTCTCTGGAGTCCCTGTACCTGACTGGTGCTCACGTCTCCTCGTGCTCCAGCTCCCTCTGCACCTGGAGACCGCCAGCACCACTAGGAGGGCTGGGGGAGGAGGGCTGCCTCAGCAGCCCAAGGTGCTCCCTCCCCCGCTGGCCAGTGCTAGGTCTTCCCAGCCCCCAGTGTCAGGACGGCGCGGCCTTCCTCTGCAGACACTTGGAGCTTTCAGGCTCTCCTGGGTCTTTGTCCGCTGCTCACGCAAAGGCATTCGCCTTCCCCCATGGCCCAGGATGCACCCAAGGGGTGGTGTGGGAAGAAGCTGGGAAGCCAAGGAGGTGGCAAGCCCAAGGATCAGTGCGGCCGGCCAGCTTGCTCAGGGAGGTGCGCTGTGGCTGACCCTTAAGAGCGCTTGTTCCTCCCGGCGGGGCAGCCTGACGAGGCCCTAGGATGGACCAGGTGCCCCTCGCGGGGGTGAGAGTTCATCACCAGCCACCCCGTGGGCTCAGTCCCGCAGTAGAACGTGGTGGGTGCAGCGGACCTTGGGGACATGCCCACATAGCTGTGCCCGGATGCTCTTACTCCACTTCCAACCATAGGGGGACTTCTAGGGGCAGGCCAAGGTCACCGGCTAAAGGGGAGCTGTGCTCCAACAGGCCGGTGGTCGAGGATTAAGTGGGGTTGTTACACTTGCTGTGGATGAGGCTGAGGGTGGAGGCAGTGGAGCAGGAGACACCAAACGGCCTAGGGAAGATGCTGGAGGTGTTCCCTGTGGCATTTTCTTTCTAAAGAGCAGGCCCGCTTACCCCTGAAAGCCAGGCTTCTAGAGACTGAGGAGGATGCCTCCCAGTTACTGCAGGTGCCAAGTGGAGTGTGATGCCAGAGGTCTGGGGAGGTAGCCCAGCTCCTGCCAGGGCCCCAGAGCCCTCGGTCGAGGCCTGAGGAGGAAGCTAGTCTCCAGCAGGCAGTGCTGGGCCCTGTTGGCCTCAGGCTGGCTGGTGCTACCCTTTGCCCCGTGGAACCGGCTGCGGGAGCAGCAGGTGCGGATTTGCCGTTGGCAGGTGACAGTGGTGTGTTCCCATCCGTTTTCTGTCCAGACCCCAGAGTCTTCTTGCTATTGGACATCGTGTTAGCAAAGTTCACGAGAGAGCATGCAGGACTTTGGAGCTCTGGGGACAGGCCTGGGAGTGGTTGGCTGTTGGAGATGCCCGTGTGATTTTTGGTGGGTCGGGAAGGTGCAGGTCAGGACAGGCAGACCCAGTGGGAAGACTGTTGGACATGGGAGTCGTCTCACGAAGGGCTGGCTCCCTGCTCTTCCCGCTTAGCTGGCAATTCTGGGGACGCCTGGGTGGGAGTAGCCACCGTCTCCACACAGGGAGGTCTGGAACAGGAGCAGGAAGGACAGCTCAGCGGGCCGCCTGGGAAAGGACGTAGGAAAACTGGAACCGGTCGCCCTCACATCTCTGATGGTAGACGTAGACGTGGAGTGAATGCTGGAGGTGGTTGTGAACGCCTGTCGCCATCCAGCTTGGTGCAGAGTCGCTGTGGCACTGGTATCTTTCAGAGGTCGTTTTCGGGAAACGTACAGGCGCCCCCTGGAGCTGTGGGCGAGGGCCCTGGGGCCTGACGGGCACTGAGGTGGTCTGAGGAGGGCAGGCAGTTCCTTTGTGGGGAGGAGCAGAGCCAAGGTTTGGGTGAGAACTGAGTTTCCAGCCAGGCCCCGTTTTGATCTGAATTTGTCATCTGTTGTCCAGTCCGGTTGCTCCCAGGCCTTGTGAGTAGAGGTGACCCTGGAGTTGTCCTGCCCTCTGGCGGGAAGCAGCGGAGCCCCTCCTCCAGCCCAGGATGGGACGGTGTGTGGAGGGCTGGCCCTTCCCTGCTGAGGCCAGTGTGTGGAGGATCCGGGAAGAGAGGGCATAGATGAGGATGGACTCCGCTGTCCGGCAGGAGCTCTCGAATCTTTCCATCTCGGGAAAGGAAGGCGGGGTCTTTGGGAAGCAGGGCAGCCCGCCCCCACCTGTGTCTTGCAGGGACCCAGCCGGGGCGGCCTTTGGTCGGTGACCGCTTGCTCGTCGCCGTTCTAGGCAGTGGAGTTTGGGGGAGGCCGTATACCAGGTCTCAAGCAGCCAGGACAAGGATGGAAGGTCCCTCTTCTAGTTGTGACCGGCTAACTCGCCCGAACGGAGGCCCAAGGACTCCTGAAACTGGAAATCTCCCCCCACGTGCTCCCGGGAGGGGCGTGGGAGGGCGGCTTTCTCAAACCCCCGTCCAGTGGCCTCCAGCCCCGAGCCTGAGGGCGTGAGCAGGGATCTAAAGCCTCACCTTAGTCCCATTTCACTTCACAGACTGATTTGGCCGCACAGCCCTAGAACCCAACAACCAACCACCACAAAAAGAAAAGGCCGAAATTCCTTAGAATACGCAGAGGGAGGAGGTGACTCAACAAGGTGCTAAAAACATTTTATTAAAAATATATATTGTTAAATTAAGTCTGCTGTCTGGACAATGACTGTTTGTTTTGTTTTCTTGTAGTGAAGTTTAAAAGAGACTATTATTTTACTCTGATATATTATTATTAAAAAGGCATTTTAACTTTGTACTTGAAAACTAAATGAGCGATTTCATGTGTTTTAGCTGAGGCATTGAAGTAGCGGGTGCTTATTTGTGGGAAACCATGTATTCATACTGAAGAATAAACTCCGTAGCTGATTTGGTAATAACTTTCCCTGTTACAGACGATTTCGCTTTGGCCCCGTTGGCAGAGCACTGTCACTCCACATTCCACGCAGCTCAATGCAGGACTTCCTCCCCGCCCCGCCCCGCCCCGGCCCTTGCCTGCCCTTTTCTCTTCAGTTCCTCTCTTTTCCTTTCATTGTTTTTCTCCTGGTTCCAGCATCCTTTCACCACTGTATTATTATTTTTTTTAGGGTTGCTTCTCTATTTATTGACAACAATAATGTACATTTCACAGTCTGGTTCTGGGACACCGGGTGGGGCGTGTGCGAGGGGCCCGAGCGGGTGCCCAGCCGGCCGCCGGTGTCCTGTTGTATCTCTGTGTGTGATGCTCGTGACATAGCTGTTTATGAAATAATTAAAGAGGTCAGTGCGTACAGCCGATGTAGAAAGTCTGTCAGTTCCGCCTTCATCACATTTTTTTTTGTGCCCAGAAGAATATAATAAAGCTCCTTTCTAATGTACTTGTGCTGGAGAACACTTGAATAAATGGACTGTTTTTGTGCAAAAAGAAAAAACGGAACAAGCGCCGCAATAATGTCCTTTTGTCTCGCGCCTCCTCTCCCCTGACATGGCTGTTCGCAGCCGCCTCCAGAGGGTTAACCACCAGCTCTGGGTCCAGACGATGCAGGTCCTCTTTAAAACATCACCTGCCTGAACGCTGAGTAGGGACTGCGAACGGGGTGGAAAAAAGGACAGTGTGGTTGACTCGAAGCTCAGAGATAAGTTACAGGGAGACACGTTTGCCGGAAAATCGAATTCTGTCCTGGGATGAGCGACAGTTTTCAGTCCCTTAAGTGCCAAGAGAGGGCTCTGTGCCCAGGTCTTGGTCGGAGGAGCTGGAAGACTTTTGGTTTCCCCAACACACGAGGGTGTCTAAGGGGAGAGCAGCCGGGCGGTGGACAGTCTGGGCTGTGCAAGAGACGCTGAAACGGAGAGGCATTTGGTCTGAAGGAAGAATCGAGAAGTGTTTGCAGACACTGCCAGGGCCAGCCCAAGGGTGGGGATTATTCGGGGAGTTGCATGAGGCCGCCAGTCTGCAGAAATCGGCCCATTCAGCCCTGCATCAGAAAGGTTCTTTTTCACCCCTGGCCAACGGGGCCAGGGGCTGCCCCGAGTGCATTAAGCCCTGGACAGCCATGTGGGGTACTGCTGGCCTTGCTCAAGGGGGTCCTCTCACTGCCTGGGTCCATACACAATGTCTCCTTCGTCCTCATGACTCTGCCTGCCAGTCACTAGTCTCCTGTCGCCCCCATCCAGAGAGGAGTGCGCACATGTAAACTGGGGGCACTTCCCCCATCTCCTCTCTAAGACCCCGGGCGTGCCGTGCTGTCTGTCTGTCCCCTAAGTGCCAAGCAGGATCGGCCAGCCGTCTCGTCCCCGAACGGAAAGGAGGGCTATTCGAGGTTTCTTCACTTTGTTAGATTTGGGGGAGGTTTCGGGCGGCACCACTTTGCTGGCAGTTTTGAAAGACATTCAAAGGGGAAATTTTGAGGGGGGAAAAAAATAACAGGCTTTTTTCATGGGCATTTTTCTTGACAGAATTGTAAATGTACATTTAACTTTCATCCGACTTTTTTCTTAATATTTTTCAGTGTTGATGTAGAATTTTCTTTAATGTCTGCATGGCATTTCCTTGTTGGAAGTTTGTTTCTCTACCTATGCGTTTTATTTTAGCTATAAATAGAGCTGCAATAAAGATCTTTGTGTTGGCGTTTCCCCTTATAAATTGTATTTTTTCCTTAAGATACTAGTACATTCCCAGAGATGAGACTTCGGGGGGGACAGGAGGTGAACATTTGGGTGGTTCCTGACACATTTGCCTGCCTTTCTCCCTCCCTGTGGCCAACACAGACAGTCTCTCTTCAGGTCTGAGACTCTCCGTTCAGAAAGAAACACCGTCTTTAGTTTGGTCCAGTTCAGACACGTGTGTTAACCCCAGTGGGGAAGCAACACCACTCGGCCACTTTGAAAATTAGCTCACCTGGCGTGCCTGCCTGGGGAGCC